GTATAATTGCACATTTACATAGCAATTGCGTCTGTGTGAGTGTATGTATGCCTATGCGCATCTATTCGTGTCTGTGTAAGCATTTTCGCAGTCAACCAAACAGCAACATCAACAACAGCCGCGGGCAGCGCTTGAGCAGCGCTGCAGTAGCGCTGCATCAGCAAATATATTTATGGCTATAACTTCTTGTTAAATCGGTCTATCATAATGAAATTTGGCATACGGACACATAATAACCAACTGGGGGTATTTCCAAAATTTTAGTTCGAAATTCCAAGAAATTCGGGAGTTACGATTTGCGGGCTAGAGGGGGGAGGGAGGGGAATTCCAAAATATAAATTTTCTGCGTATTCACATAAGGCATCTGGGACTAAAATTTGGTGTTCCTAGGTCTTATAGTCTCTGAGATATAGGCGATTATACGAATGGAAAATCGGGAAAACCCCCATAGGGGGGAAGTGGGGGGGAAAATCAAAAAAATAAAACAAACTCGTATAGAATACACACATAACGCATCTTTGTGCAAAATTTGGTGTCTCTATCTCTTATAGTGTCTGAGATCCAGGTGTTCATACGGACGGACAGACGGACAGACAGAGAGACAGGACTAGATCGACTCGTCTCGTCATGCTGATCAAGAATATATATACTTTGTGGGGTCTGCCACGCCTCCTTCTGCCTGTTACATTTTTCAGCTCCCGCAAACCTAATATACTCTTGTACATTTCATGTACAGAGTATAAAAATTACTTTTGAAAATGTTAAATCGTTTTTAATTAATTAATATTTCTTGACATGTGTACATACACATTCACACATTAGTGTCTCACATTTTTCTTTGGCTATTTCAATGTATGTGTGTGTGTATGTATGTATACTAAGTTGTCCCCAACCGTTTGATATGAGTTTTATGTTGTTTGTTCTGCCTGCGTTTGTAAAGCGCACCCCGTATTTCTATAATTTGAAAATCCTTGAATGCAAAGTTGTAGATTTAGTTACGTAGATTACATTACCCAAATTTGAAATCGATAGGAAAAAATTTATAACACAAACTTTTAGTTCAACCTTTAACACAAATTTTGGGAAACCGAGTACATATGCAGTTTTATTTGCATTCGGATTTTTCAAACAAACTTTGGAGCTCATTTCCCTCACATGGAGCTCGAATTTACCAAAATCCTCTCTTAGTGCTCACCTACACTATGATGGGATACTTGAGTTCAAATTTCAGCACTCTAGCTCTTACCGTTTGGGCTGTGGGGAGTTGATTGTGTTTCAATTTTTCACGGGAAAACCCCCTTTTTTATGCCCCAGGAAAAATGGTGAAAAATCAAGTATGCAGTGTTTTGTTTTTAGGAAATCAAATGAAAATAGCAGATTTTTCATACAATCTTTGGAGCCCGGTTTTCCCCCTTTGGCATTCGAATTTTCCAAAATGCTCACCTACACCATAAAAGAGAACTTTTGTCCAAATTTCAGCTTCCTAGCTCTTACCGTTTGGGCTGAGCGTTGATTGCACATAGCGATATTTCCACCGGAAAATCCCTCTAATTCCGCCCCCAGGAAAAATAGAAAAAAACCAAGTAAACAGTTTTTCTTGTATTCTGTATGATACAAACTAAGTAAGTTAGTATACAAACTAAGTTTAAAGATAATCAGATGAAAATTGTAGATTTTTCATACAAACGTTAGAGCCCGTTTTCTCCCATTTGGAGTTCACATTTTTCAAAGGGATCTTCTGTCCAAATTTCAGCTTCCTAGCTCTTACCGTTTTGGGCTGTGCGTTGATTGCCAATCAGTCAGTCAGGACAAACTGTTTTATATATATAGACATTATGTGTGCAAGGTTTGGTTATCATCGTTCACCCAGACAGACGAACATGTCTAGATCGATTTCTCTCGTCATGCTAATTCAGAATATATATACTTTATAATAATATACCCATTTTACCATACGGGTGCAGGGTATAATAAATAAATATGTTTTGTTTTTTGCATTCTGTACCTCTCTTTATTTAAAATACGTACATATATATACATATGTTTGCGCATAATTGCAAACAACACATGCCCGCACAAATACATAAATATGTACACATGCATTTTTTATACGGTCATACTCTGGTAAGACTCACGCAATACTCGAGTAATACCCGAGTACAATTCGCGCAATACCCAAACAACACTCGACCAATAACGGTACTATACTCATTCGATCAAACGCTCTTTCTCGAAAGTCTGGTTTGTTTCAATCAGCACCCAGTCATCTTAAACGAACTGACCGGTGCTTGTTCGTAAAAATAGAACGATGGCTCATTCAAATTCGATCATAAGAAAAATGCTGAGAGTACTCAACTCGTTCGACCTCCTTTGCAGCCAAGCAAAGATCTAATTTGATTGAATTTTTAGCAGGGGTGGTCAAACATACTCGTTGTAATTCTCTGATTTCAATTCATATGTGGAGAGGCATGTTGTATGGTTAATGCCAGAAGTGATCATTGAGAGTCTACCTAAAGAAGTTGGAACCGGCGCACAGGCGCAATTATGTATTTCATTTTGAAGTGAACATATCCGGTAAGATTTAAATGTGGGATCTGTTAAAGATGAAATCGCCAAGGTGAAAGCAAAGTACCAGCTTAAGCTTCTGAACCATCCAAATAGACTTGCGCAGAATTTAACACGACTCCGACGAAGAGACCCAGCAATAACAGTTATGGCCGTAATTTAAATATTTAATTGTAATTTATTTATTTAATTATATTAACTATATTAGATTAAGATTTGACTACTCCGAGAAGAAGATTCGAAAACTAAAGAAAAGTTGTACCGTTAAATAAGTATATATAAGTGGAAATGTAAATTTAGGTGTGTTAAATAAATAAAAACACGGAAAATTAACCTGTCTTTATTTGTGGTGCCCGAAGCCTTTGCAGTCTGACATGTACCACAAGCAGGGTTCGTAAAATGCGGGCAAAACCCGTTCGGGCCCGCGAGAAATTCTGCTGCGGGTCGCTGCCGACAGAGGCCGCGGGTACGATCGGGTCGTCTGGCAGAGGTAACGGTCGTGCGGGTACGCCGTGCTTCGTCGCGGGTGGCTGCCGACAGCAGCAGTGTCGTACGAGCCGGTCTGCAGTAGCAGAGCGCTCGTTCGTGGTAGGCAGGCATATGTACATATGTATGTGTGATGTGTGAAATTTGTATGATGGTATGCTTGTGTGTATATATTTTTTTAAGGCGAAATGTGCGCGATCTCTTTCACTCTTTACCTGCTGCGTACTCCGTTTCAGCTTGACCCAGCTGTTTTGCCTACGTTTGCACAGTGGTACCTGATACTATTTTTAAGGATCCGTGGCGTTGCAACTTGGCGTAATTTAAAGGGACTTTTTTTACCTATATACTCCTATACCAATAAAACCTAGTCAATTCGTATACTTCATTCACATAACGGCACCTGCAGCGATTCACATATGCTAGTGTATTTTTATGGAGGTGCAAATACGTATGTAAATTAAGGCGTAAAGATTTGTTTTTGTTACCATTGTTTCTATTTAAAAGGATGTTGGCCGGGACAGTTATTCAGTTTTTTACAAGATTTAAAGTGTTGAAGACGCATTACAACTTAAAAATAGTGCAATGGGCAAACTTACCAAATATTTAAATACTTCTTTGTTAGTGGAAAGCAGTAGTAGTAAAACTGTCAGGTGCAAGATGTGCCAAAAATCTGTGATAAGTCGTGTCCAAATGTATTAAGCGATATTTTAATAGTTAATTTAATAAATAACTAAATGCGGAATTAATAAACGAAATTTCTGTCGAATAGTAAAAAATATTTTAGTAACAAGTTTATTTATTTGCAAATGATCTTTTTATTTCCTATAGCAAAAAAATCGAAAGACATTCATTCAGAAATCTAGTATCAGGTACCACTATGCAAACGCAGACAAATCTGCTGAGTGAGGCTATAAGGGATGAAATGCATCGCGCACATTTTGCCTTGAAATATATACACACAAGCATACCATCATACAAATTTAACACATATGTACATATGTACGACCCGATCGTACCCGCGGCCTCTGTCGGCAGCGACCCGCAGCAGAATTTCTCGCGGGCCCGAACGGGTTGCGAGCACATTTTACGAACCCTGACCACAAGGGTCTTTAGAGCCGGGTATTACAACTTACAATTGTAAAACTATACATCTAAAACAGATAATAACAGTAACAATCAAAATTACAGTCGAATTGGAAAGTTCTCCTTTGCAGAACCTAACCAAATTCTCATCAAAGTACTCTTGAAGTACATCCTTTTCAATAGGAAAAGAATCATCGAAATCAGTTGGCGTCATATTGAGTTATTCGTCCATTTTTCGTGCACATACTTATTACAAATTTTCGACTTATGTTGTTTTCTTATGGATGCCATGTCAGAATTGGACTAAATTAAAATGGGACCATGCGAGACGCACCAGCTTTCAAATGGTAAAAGAAAATCGGTTCCAGTACACTCGAACCGACAAACAAACATAAAACATGAAAAGAATGCTTAAGTCGAAAAAGAAACAAAAAAGGAATGCTAAAGTCGAGCGAGCTCAACTCTTAAATAGCCTGTACCTCCCACCAAAAAAAAAAAATTGGTTTTATCAAAAAAATAAAACAAACTTGCACAGCGTACACATATATCGCATCCTTGTGCAAAGTTTGGTGTCTCTACCTCTTATAGTCTCTGAGATCCAGGTGGTCTTACGGACAGGCAGACAGGGCTAGATCGACTCGTCTCGTCATGCTGATCAAGAATATATATACTTTGAGTGGTCTGCCACGCCTCCTTCTGTGTGTTACATACATGCGCACAAAACTAGTATAGCCTTTCACCCTTTGGGTACAGGCTATAAAAACGGATTGCTCTTTTTTGAAATCGGTTGAAAACGGAAATTGGTGAGGGCGAATTTTCGAAAATGTACTGTCCTACAAACAATGAATAAGATTTTTTTTAAAATATAAATATATATTTGTTTTACCATGTACAGGTTTACAACTTTCTGATAGTGCTACAGTATTATATAAGTATACGATTATAATTAGGTGCCATTACATGAAAATCATCTTTCCTTGCACATATAGGAAGGGCAGACTTCAACTTTAGCTGTGCTTGGGCCAGTTTGGTAAGGCGATCCGTTACAATCATTGGAAGGTCTTCGTTGTCGGAAAAATGGGTCGACACGCCGTTTGGCTGTGTATACGTTATTCCTCCACCTTGACTTGTCGGTATAACGGATATCACTGATCCATCATAAAATTGAACTTGCACAACACCATGGGACAGCTTTAAAAATATAAAGTAAATATAAAAATATATATGTTAAATAAATGCTCAGTTTTTGTGAATCTCACCTCTGTTGCAATACCAATTCCAGCAAGATTCAATCGCTTTATGGGCACATTTTGTTGTGACGCCAAAAGTTGCTCTCTACAGGAGTTTTCAGTTTCCTTCAACGCTGACGAATCTATAGTAAAGTTTATAGAGCACTTAAATAAAAATATTAGTTTTTTTTGTTTTTTATTCACTCGTATTTGTTCATACTTGTGTTTTGGGTGTTGATGTGAAGTTGGTTGTGTCCCGCATAATCGGCAATCCATCCAAATTCTGTACAGGTAGCATTTGTGCAACGGGTCGTCGTCCAATTGTTGCTGGAAAGCAATTATTTACGTCAGTTTGAGTCATTTCCAAAGCATTACAGACGCTGATACAATGTACGAAACATTCATTGCTGTGGTTTATCAACTTTTTGGCTTGAACACATGAATGGTCCGAAAGTAGCACACCGTACATATCGTACACTTTTTTTGTTTCGCTAAGGAATTTTAGTACTTTTGCGCCTGAATAGAAATATATCTCAAAGTCTGACATGTTTTCCATTAGCTGACACTTTGCTTCTGCACTAAAATAGGTCAACTTTGGCGTTTTGCTTTTTACTAGGCTGACAAATCTCGCAGCATAGACATATTTTTTCCAGTGTTTGGTAGGTAAGTTTTCATAGCAGAAAACACAATCTTCACTTGGTACATATGAATCTGGTGGCTGATCTCGTATAGGTAGTCCCCTAAAATAAAGTTAAGGAAAAAAGTATGTTTTCACAAATGGAATGATGTCCGACTCAAATTACTATTTAAATAGCAATTCAATTGAAACCAAAAACAAAACAGGTGGGAAAACTAAAATCGGGTGTCCCGACTTTGAAATACTATGTACAAATGTGTACAATTTAAGAACATTAAAAACAAGTAAAACAGATAAAGTCGGGTGTCCTGACATTGAAATACTCTGTACATATGTTTAGAATAATTATAGAAATTAAAAAAATTTAAAACAAGAGAGAGCGCTACAGTCGAGCAAGCGCGACAGTAAAATAGCCTGTACTCTCCACAAAAAAGGAAAATTAAAAAAAAATGGAATTAATTAAATTATTAAAGAAAATTTATTCAATACATACATAGAAGTCATGTTTATGTCCAGTTTTAACAGCATACATTTACGTCACGTGTCTATGCGTGTTTATATGCGTGTATGTATGCAGCACAAAGTTGAACCAAAGCAGCAACAACAACAGCTGCGGGCAGAGGTGAAGAAAGCGCATGATGAAAGGACACATAAGCACTAACTGGATGTAACTACTAGAATTTATTTCAAAATTCCAAGAATTACGGAATTTATAAACAAAAACAAGAATTTCGGGGGAATGGGGGGTATCAGAATAAAAAAATAAACTTGACCTGCCTAGGACTTAGGGGAACCTCCATACCAAGTTTGGTTATTCTAGCTTTTGTACTTCCTGAGATCCTTGCGCTCATGCAGACAGACGGACGGACAGTTCTGTGTGTTACATACATTCGCACAAAACTAGTATAGCCTTTTACCCTTTGGGTACAGCGCAAAGGCGTACGCAGGGGATGCCATATAAAGTCGACTACACATTCATTATTATGACGCACTATTGCGCCTTAAAATGGAACTGAGCTGGATTTGTTGAAGTTTTTTCATTAAATTATTTTTTAAATGCATTGTGCATTATTTAATCAAATTTTTAAATTTTTGGGCTCCCCTCTTTTTAAAAGCTCCGTACGCCCTTGGTACAAATTAAGAAAATTATGTTTAGAATAATAAAAAAAAATTTTTTTTAAATGTTGACCGATTTTACCTCTCTTGGTATTCGAACTCACGGAAATGGTGCATAATTGCACATTTACATAGTAATTGCCGCCGTGTGAGTGTATGCATTTCTATGCGTGTCTATTCGTTCCAGTGTGAACTGCAAACATGTTCAACCAAAGTCAACCAAAGCACGAGCATCAAATACAAGTATATTTATGGCTACAACTTCCTGCTAAATCGGTCTATCATAGTGGAACTTGGCATACGGACACATAATCACTAACTGGGGGTATTTCTCAAATTTGAGTTCGAAATTCCAAAAATTACGGGAGTTACAATTTGCGGAGGAGTGGGAGGGAGGGAAATTCCAAAATACACATTTTCTGCGTATTCACAAAAGGCATCTTGTCTAAAATTTGGTGTCCCTAGGTCTTATAGTCTCTGAGATGTAGACGATTATACGAATGGAAAATCGGAAAAACCCCTATAGGGGCGAAAATAAAAATAAAACAAACTTGTACAGCGTACACTTATATGTGACACACAGACACGCTAGACTCACAATTCCTATGTAAATGTGCAGTTATACACCATTTAAGTTTCAAGTTTCAATATGATATGTGAAATGTAAACGAAGTTATGGCTACGCTCTGCCCGCAGGTGTTGCTGCTGCTTTGTGTGAACTATGTACTGCACACATACACGAACACATAGTCACGCACAATGTACATATATAATAAAGATTATAACGGTACAAGCAAATCTACGTACCAAGTTGTTGGTGGCACTAGCTGTTGTGATTGGAAAGTTGACGGACAGGCGGACATGTCTCTATCGAGTCGTCGTCACCTATAACATGGCAGTTTGTAGGGAAAAAAAAAAAAAGTCCAAAGAATTTTCCAACTAACCTTCCTGGATCCGGTTGATAAATAATAATACGACGACCATCTTCAGAGATACGACAAATATCAACAATACGCTCTTCGTTCATTTTTTTCTTGAATTTAATGAACTCTATAATAACTTCACCGTTGCGCTGAATACTCATAATGGCATTTTTCGTTTTGTAGCGTGTTGGCTGAAGTCGCTTTGTGTTTAATGGTGGCACAGACTTTGATTGTCGCTCGATGGTCGGGGGAATTACACACTTTGACAGGTTGCTTTGATCTGGTGTCATTTGACAAGGTAATTCTTTGCTGTCAAACCAAGCATCTGAAGTTTGCTGGTATGCTCCTATATTGGGACTCAGTTGGTTAATTCGGTACTTCCTATTCAATGACTTAGACGACTGTATTAAACCAGATTCCGGAATACTTATGTTTTGTTGCATATGTTTTTCTAAAGAGCGTAGTTGCTGTGAGTTCTTTGAATCGCCTGCAATAGTAAACACAATTTTAACCGGTTCAAACTTAATCCATCAGAACATAAAAATGCTTACTGCTAAAAAATGTGACTATTCCGCTGTCACCAATATCCATATTTTGATTGTAGAAATCGGAAACACAAGTCCCTTTATAGTCGACAGTACTGCCAGATTTTAATATGAACGGATGCTTAAGAACTTGCTCTAGTAAAATGCGTTCAAGTGGATTCTTCTTGAGTAGGCTATTAATTAAATCACATGCTTCGGGGGAAATATGATTAGGCATTTTATAGTCAGACATAACAACTTTAGTAAGAGTTGAATGGATGGCGTCTGTGTCGAAAGGAGGTCGTCCTGTCAAGAGCGTATACAACATGCATCCTACGCTCCACACATCGGCCGGCAATCCGTGCGATGAGCGTGACACAACCTCTGGAGATATATAATTTGGAGTTCCGCACATGGTCATGTGCTTTTCGTCAGGACGTTTAAGTTGGGTAGCTAATCCAAAGTCTGCTATTTTAACGCGCATGTCTTTGCAAATAAGTAAATTTGATAGCGATATATCGCGATGCATTATGTGGTGGGAATGCAAATACAATAGTCCTGTAACCACCTGCTGCAAAATGAATGCTGCTTCCCTTTCGGTAAATGGTCGAGACAACTGATAGTTCATATATCGCTGCAATTCACCATTATGCGCTAGCTCTAACACCAAATACACATAGTTCACATCTTGAAAGAATGTATAAAGCTGCAGAACTGATGGATGTTTAAGTCGTGAGTGAATTTCAATCTCTTGTCGAACACGGCTAGATAGCCCAGATCTTTGTATTAGTTTCTTGTCTATCTGTGCAAATATTTATCAGAAAATGAACACTAGAAACATAGTGGTAATAGTAATTATACCATTTTTATGGCCACATCTTGGGATGTACGCCTGCACTTTGCCTTGTAGACGCTGGCGAATCCTCCTTTTCCAAGTAGGTGCTGTACTTCATATTCCTAAAAAAAAACGAATATTGAACTTGCAATGTAAAACACATATGCATGTATAGCCGTGACGCGAATTATTATATACTAACATTGATTGTTTCTCCATAATTTTGGTGTGGCATCATGGTTTCCTGATTTTCCCGAATTATTTTTTTCTGTTTATTCTAGGCAAAACATTACTAACGCAGTTGTTACACGTTAAAAAGTAAAAGGACGCCAACTGTAAGTGTTGAAAAGTGGAAACCAAAGACACCCTGTACAACTCTATTCGTAAAAACGAAACAATATAAATGAATTAAATTGGAACGGTGGAAGAAAACGACCTCATTTCCTGAAGCTCAGTAGTTGTTCAGCTGAGCGGCAAATAACAAATTCGATATAATTATGAATATTATATAAACAAGCTTAACAAAAAAAAAAAAACAGACTTCAAACAATTCTAACACAAATTAATATGCGCTAAAAAGTAAACAAATAATTGTGTATATCTTCTACAAAATGTCAGCGGTCGCGCGCCACGCCAGTCAAGAGAAAAATCGATACGAGTCACTTGCTTACGAACCATTTCAGATTCATTTCTCTTACTTATTTACAACGTCATTCGTACAGTTATTCCTTGTGTATAATGTTGGCTATATTTTCGCATCACCGTAATCTAGCAGATTATGTCTCAGCATAGTATTGAATTTCGTTTGTTTGGCTTAATTAGATATCGGTATTTTTGTCATTTCGAGGTCGCAGATATTGTCACAGTATATATACTTACATAGGTATACCATACATGTATTGTCGTATAAAAGTTAATTTGGAATTGGGTTTAATCAGGTATTGGTACTTTTCTCGTTTTAAAGCCGCAGATATTGTCACAGTATATTGTCGTATAAAAATTAATTTGCAAATGGGTTTAATAAGGTATTGGTATTCTGTCACAGTATATTGTCGTTCGTATAAAAGTTAATTTGTAAAAAGCATTCTCATATTATAGTGTTTCCTTGGCTGACACCGACTCCAAAAATAACAATAATTCTACCTACATTATTGTAGAAGATATACACAATTATTTGTTTATTTTTGAGAGCATATTAATTTGCACCTTTACAGATTAAGCTGCTTTAACAAGTAAATAACTAAAGTCGGGTGCCCCGAATTCGAAATACTCTGCACATTTGTATGTAAATAATTATAGAAATTAAAACAAGAAAGGAATGCTAAAGTCGACCGGGCTCAACTCCTAAATACTCTGTATCACCCCCACCCCCCTACAAAAAAACAAAAATGTCAAAAAAATTAATTTATTTAGCTGCCGAAAGAGCTTCGGCAGAGATTATATTTATGGCTATAACTTTCTTCACATTTGACCTATCATGGAGATATTTGCCAAATTTGAGTACAAAATTCCAAAAAATACGGGATTTATGGAAAAAAAGAATTACGGGAGGGCTTCTTAGGGCTTAGGTGAACCTGAATACCAAGTTTGGTAATTCTAGCTCTTGTACTTGTTGAGCTCCTTGCGTTCATACAGACGGACAGACGGGTCTGTATGTTACATACATTCGCACGAAACTAGTATAGCCTTTCACCCTTTGCGTACAGCGCAAAGGCATACGCACACGTTGATTATTATGACGCACTATTGCGCCTTTAAATGGAGCTGAGCTGGATTTGTTGAAATTTTATCACAAAATTATTTTTTAAATGCATCGTGCATTATTTAATCAAAATTTTAAATTTTTGGGCTCCCCCCTTTGAAAAGCTCCGTACACCCTTGGTACAGAGAATACAAATTAAGAAAATGAAACAAGTAGAGAAGCTAAAGTCGGGTGTCCCGACTTTGAAAAACTCTGTACATATGTTTAGAATAATTAAAATTTTTTTTTTTAAAAATGACCGATTTTACGTCTCTTGGTATTTGAACTCACGGAAAGGGTGTATAATTGCACATTTACATAGTAATTGCCGCTATATGAGTGTATGCATGTCTATGCGTGTCTATTCATTTCTGTGTGAACATTTTTGCAGTCAACCAAAGCACGAGCATCAACAATAGCTTCGGACAGCGCTTGGGCAGCAATTATATTTATGGCTTTAACTTCCTGCTAAATCGGTCTATCATAATGAAACTTGGCATACGGACACATAATCACTAAGTGGGGGTATTTGAAAAATTTGAATTTAGATCACTAATTGCGTGGGAGAGGGGAGGGAAATTCCGAAATACACATTTTCTGCGTATTCACAAAAGGCATCTTGGACTAAAATTTGGTTAGACACCAAATTAAGGACCTAGCCAAAGTCTCTGAAATATAGGCGTTTCCGAGAATCCCCCATAGAGGGGAAAATAAAAAAAATAAAACAAACTTGCGCAGCCTACACACATAAGGCACCTTTGTGCAAAATTTGGTGTCTTTAGCTTTTATAGTCTCTGAGATCCAGGTGTTCATACGAACAGACAGACAGGTCTAGATCGACTTGTCTGGTCACGCTGATCAAGATCCCTCTTACATTTTTCACCTCCTGCAAACCTAATATACACTTGTAAATTTCATGTACAGAGTATAAAAAATATGTCATTTGCATTAATATTAGCTCGCGAGCATTTGCGGAAACGCCAATTAGTTGTTGAAAAAATACAACACAAATGTTTAAGAAGCGCATCTGATCCACAAAAGAATGTTGCTTAATAAAAATTTAATTTAATTGTAACAGTTTTTACTTGTTAACATTTGGAATTTTGCGCAATTGGACGAAAATTGATTCCTGTTGTGGCGATCTATGTTTTTCAAAAATTAGAATTGGAAATTGCGTCAATAATATATTTTATTTTTTGTTTAAATCACAAAATAAGAGTTGAGTTGTTATTTTCGGTTTGAACTCATGAAAATTTTGAGTCACAAATTATTGGAAACAGTTCGGAAAAATAAAATTTTGAAATTGCAACGCTAGCAGAAGTTTTGCTAGCAATATAAGTATCTGCGGATAACCTCGATACAAACATTTGTTTCCGAGGGGCCACGATATTGAGAGTAGGAAGATGGGGAGCAGAAGCTGTACCTTTCGCAAATTTAGGCATTAGAACTGAAATGCGTGCGGACTTTTTGAAGCAGTACTCAAGACTGCTTTTTCATTGTTCGCAGGCGGAATAATAACCGGCGTCGATGAGACTTCAATTGGAGAAAGCAGGTGAAGCCATCCAATATATTAGGGGAAGATGACAGAGATAAAACTGGAAAACAAATCTCGTAATGAGGGGTTGCCGGGAGGGGCAAATGTGGCAAAGTTGAGCCAGAAGGGATAGATGGGTGCATATTTCAACATTGCGTATCCAACCGGTGCTTTGGTGGGGACTCAAATTTATACTTGTTTAACAAGTCAATTCCCAATTGTACAAATTGATTTTTCACGCGAAACACAACAAAGGGCACAAGTAACAAAACAGCCGTGACGCCGCTTAAATAACAAATATAAAACACAAAGCTGCAGTGCACAACTGTTAACATAAAACACAAAACTCGGGCTTACCGCTAAGGCAATATTCGGACATTCGTAAGCTGTTTGTTCGTAAGCCGTTTTATTCCAGCATGTGGCTTTCTTTTCAGCAAAGCTTCGGGGCGCTCAACTAAAGTATAGCGTCACCGAGAAGGAGTGCCTGGCTGCAGTGAAAGCAGTCGAGAGATTCCGGCCGTACGTGGAGTTGATGCCTTTTAAAGTAGAGACTGATCACGCCAGCCTGCGATGGCTTTTGTCTTTAAAGAAGCTGGACGGCAGATTAGCGCGGTGGTCGTTGGCTCTACAAAGATTTGATTTTGGCATCGAGAATCGCAAAGGCAGAGACAATATTGCAGCCGATACACTCTCGACCTTTCGAGCTCGAGGAAATAGATTTTTTTGAGGAGAATGCGGAGCAGTTTCCCGATTTGAGGACGGGCTGCCGTATAAGCGGGCGCAGTTCATGCGGCCCAAGCGAGAGGAGTTTTCCTGGAAGCTCTGCACCGCAGCCCTTATGCAGCAGGCCCATGAGGGCGACGCAGCCATGGCATGAAGAGAACGGAGGAGCGAACAGTTTGTCTTTTGGCCTGGGATGGTGGCCCAAGTAAGAAAATACGTGGCTGGTTCCGAGGTTTGCTAGGCCACTAAGCATACCATGCAAGTCACGAGGCCCATGATGGGCGCCGAAGTGGTATCCTTCCGGCCAATGCATAATTTGTATTTGGACTTTCTGGGGCAGTGCTCGATCATATGTCGAAGTTCGTTTGGCTGCGAGCAATGTCGAGTGCTACCGCAGGGCTGTGGTACGTTTCCTGCAGAAGGAGGGTTTTGCGTAGTTTGGTGTCCAGAAACCGTCCACACAGACAACAGGCAGCAGTTTGTGTCGGGGGAGTTCACCTCATTCTTGCGGAAATTGACCATAACGCACACGCGGACGGCTAACTATTCTCCAGTCGGTGTTGGCGGCAAACCGAACGTATGTGCGAGAAGACCATACCAAGCTCGCGGACGTTCAGTGTGCGACGCGTAGTGCCATACATAACAGCATTTGCACGTCCCCATACTTTGTCTTGTTTGGACAACGCATATTCACCAGCGGGAGCGATTAAAAGCTAGCACACAAGCTGGGAGCTCTAGAGGATGTCGAACTGGGGGTATTGCCCAGGCAAGATCAGCAACAGGTAGTGCGGGTGCAGTCCAGCAGAGTATATACCTAGCGTATGAAAAGGCAAGACGGCAGTATGACAGACGAGAGAAGATAATTAAGTACATACCTGGTCAAGACGTATACAGGCGCAATTTCGTCCTCAACCGATTTAAGGACAACATGAATGCGAAGCTGTGTCCCAAGTACGTGAAATGCCGTATTAGGAGAAGCGTGGGGGAACAGCTTGTACGAGTTGCAGGACAGGCACGGACGGCGACTGGGAGGCAGTAGCGAAGGCCCGGCTTTATTTGTCGGCAGAGCAAGAGACCCATGTGAGGGTGTGGGCGATTTCCTACGTTGGGCGGAAGAAAGGAACGCGCGACTGTTGCGTTTTCTACTCCCGTTTTCTTTCGGTTGGCACAAGGTAAAAGCGGAGTGTGCTGTTATGTGTGACGCGGTAATTTGTGGATACCACTACCAAGTGCTCGTGCGTGAGTGGCGTCGCCAAGTGCTATCAAGTTGCTGGGCTGGATGTTGATATTGGTTTGCGTCCATAAGGGGGGATA